ATTTCGTGTAGTAGCTGCGTGGAATGACCTTCCTCCGACGGTTGTACACGCTCCTTCTCGAACCCAATTTAAAGCACTATTAGACATTTATTTATGCGAATCCTCGCGCTGGCGAGCATACTGCCCCGCGCTGAGAACATAAAGAGCAGTGCTACACCCTTTTTTCACTTGTGCCTTTCAGCTGAACGACAGCCACTGACCTACAAGAACAAAACCGACCCGGGAAACTTGGGCAAAAGCCTCGATCCTGTGTATCAATCCGTGAATCCGTGAATCCGTGAATCCGTGAATCCGTGAGTACGCGGCGTTGACCTTGACGCGTGATACAAAATCTTGCTGCTCGCCTCAAATCTAAGTATTTTCATTAAATGTAGGCTTATCTGGGAATTTATCGGGAGGTGATTCTCCACAAAAACGGTAGTTCGATAGAACTTATTCTGTCAAATGTTTTGTTCAGTAGTTGCCGCTGTGCCAACTAAAATCAGTCGGTGCCATTGCAGTGTTTGGAATGATTCCAACCCACTGCCGGATACAAAGAGAAGATTCAGACAGCCTCATCGGCTCTAATCAAGGTCTTCAATGGAACCATGATTGCCCGTTACCTTGCAGGCTAAGGGCGGGCTGATGCTATTACCACAACCTCGTATACAATCGTTGGTTCGTCTCATACAAATTGGACCTGCATGATAAATACCTCACTTGCGACCATGTAGTTATACGTAGTCGCTGGATGGCGCTTTAGGTACCACTGGTTTGTCAGCAACACTCGCAGCGCGTGCATACAGAAACCGTGTGAGTCACCGGAGATCGCACAATACAACCGTTACATCTTGGTCAAATAGAATGTAACCCAAACAAACCCTTAAAAACAATTGCAGTGTACATAAAATAACATAGGGTGACAATCTTATTCAGTGGGCTCATATTAGGTCACAAAAATGAGAGATCGAAAGGTTGCCGAAATAGTGATATTCGGGCGGGCTCCCCGAACGAAACCCTACATCCTTCCACTGCCCCGTGAGTCAGACTTCTGTCAAAGGATCAGCGTGGGGTATCTCAACAAAAACCCCTTCCTCGGCCTGGATAACCGGGAATTATCATCTGCATGCACAGTTCTGTATCAAACGATGTCCCTTCCCAACCCCTTTCCACCACACAACCCAACGTTATTGGGTCATTTGATTCTGTTATCTCATCGACGAGCCTTTTGGACCCGACTATCTATGAACTATAAACGCAACATCTTTCCAAATACACGATATACTTCCTCTGTAGGAGCTCTTGACGTCCGTACTTTATGTCAATTCGGCAAACATGCGATGCTGGCCGAAGCTTTATATTCCCTTAAAATTGATGTATACTGTATCTCCGAAACACACATACGTGACCTACTCGTGGCTATGCATTTCAAAACGCCAAGGACGAATTCAGCCAGTTCACATTTCTTTCTATGTGCGTACGATAATCCAGAATCGATGACTTGGAATAAATGACATGGGGGTTACACCTAGCCCCAGAGCTGAACGCACCTTGCTAGATCGGATCCTAGTGAACAGTGCTCTTTTTGTCGTTCGGTTATTCAACTCAATGAAGCGCAATGCGAAGTGTCTCAGGTGGTTCGAGCATGGATTTACTGACCACAAGATCCGTGGTTCGGAACCGACGTCTGCCTGTCGACTTCCCCTGTCTAGGCTTGGGCAACCTGGCGTCGCAACCAAACACCGGCAGGGTGTTACAGCCGAATAATGAAATGGTAAAGCTCAAGGCTTCTCGACATAAAAAAGTACCTGTTTATAGTGTCAGTTTATGCCCCAACGGACTTCAGTTCTGACGCTGAGAATACATCCTGTCGAGAGTTATCTGAGCTCATTCGTCCAGCAAAAGGTGCCGACATTGTGATCCTTGAGGGCATGGACGTTCGAATCGCGTAACGTGGTGGTCACCAACTGTGGACCCAGTTGTACCACGAGGTCATGGGCCATCCTTGGAGACCCATAATTCAAGACTGCGGTTCCTGCTGGGGCACACACCTTAATTCCGATCAGGCAATGGTGCGTGCACACCTGACAGTTCGTTTCCCTTCAGGCCCTCGCAAGTCAGCAAGAAGCATGCCAAGCCACTGTCTTCGAAGAACTACCATAACTCAACAGTATCGATCTGTGCTAGCTCTTCGAAGCTACAGTAAACCAATACTGTACTGAGCATGTGGATGAAGTGTGACAAAATGTGAAAGGGGTTATGCCAACATCTTTCAGTGCTGTCTGTCTGACTTCTCCTATAGGGTCAAATGATCACTGGATACCGTCGAGGTCACTTGTCCTGATTGACTCCAGGAAATCCGTAACAACTGGCAGAACACGACGGCGCATACAAATCCTTCAGACGCCAAATAGTGAAGAGCATAAGAAAATACCGAGAGCACTGGTGGACATCGAAGGCTCTGGAGGTGGAGAAGGTTTTTGATTCGGGAAACAGCCATGTCCTATATATGCTGATAAGATCGGCTGGCCCTAAGGAAGCAACACTTATTGAAACGATAAGTGAAAAAGGCGGCTCATTAAGTCACTCACAAAAACGTTGGCTCAAAAATGGTCTGAACACTTCGAAGAACAGTTTAGCTGGCCTCATAAAACAATTTCTGGAGATGGTGCATGCGGGCGAATGGGTCGTAAACCTTAATCGCCCGTCAGAAGAAACAAAGCACGAAATATCCTTACTGAAAAATGAAAAGGCGCCGGGCCTGAGGATATGTATACAGCTCTTTTCAAAGCAGGCTGAGAATCCATGGTTTCCCATCTGACAATGCTTATTGGTGTTGTATGGAACGAAGAGAAGGTGCCTGCAGAATGGGGCACGTCGACAGTTATTCCTGTCTTCAAAAAAGTTACGCGAACGCCGCAGGAAAGCCACCGTTCCATCAGTCTGTTAACTGTGGCATCAAAGGTGCTTTCTATTCTCATCCTTCGGAGATTGACTAAATACAGGGAGAGAGATCCGTGAAAACCAAGCTGGATTCCGTTTTGCAAGAAGATACATCGACCACATATTCAGTGACACATTCTGAAACAGCGATACTGCTTCCATCATCCAACAGTGGTGGTCCTCATTGACTTGAAAGCTGCCTTTGACACCACAGACCATATGCAACTATGACAGTTTATGGAGCAGAGGTTTCCTCCATAAATGCTTGATCCTTCTAAAGGCGATGTATTCTAACTCCCGCGGACGGTCCACGAAAAGCCCTTTCCCGAGTTCACCACATCAAATATTTTTATACAAGGCTGTTCTCTTTCACCTTTCCTCTTCAATTTCGCCACTGATACGATTATGGAAAACTCACTACCAGCCTGTAGTGCTTCTGGGGTCGAAGTACCCTTTGGGCATTCGCTTACAGAGATTGAGTATACAGACGACATAGCTCTTCCTAGATCTGACGCCACCATAATACAAACAATACTAAATTACCTAAATGATTTTGCCCCATGATTTGGCGCGCGCCCCACACCCGTGAAGTGTAGAGAACTGCTGTAAGACTGGGTGGGCTTGAAACGTAGCATCATGCTTGCTGACGAGCCGATTAAGGTGGCAGGCAAATTTGTCTGCCTTAGCAGTTGTATCAGTCCTGGTGGTCTCGCCAAAGCTATATTCCCACTCAGATTGGGAAAGCCAGAGCAGCTTTCCTGATCCTCCATCACCTATGGCGTAGGCTTCACATCAGTTTGTCCGTCAGGGGTCGAGTTTACAATTCTGCGGTGTGCTCCATATTACTGTACGGGTCAGAAACCAGGACGCCAAAAGACTTTCAGTATTTGACCATTGATTTCTCCGGAGAACTACTCGAGTTTGACGGGAACACCGAATCAGTAATGCTGAAGTACGTCGAATGGTTTCCGGAAGAAATAACTCGCCCAAGAAAAGTGAACTGATCACATTTCACAGTTTGCGATGGCTTGACCACGTGCTCGGTCTGCCGTCTGCCGACTGTCTTGTAGAGCCGTGGTCGCACAACCATTTGAAGAGCATCCAAGCTATTGCCTTCAATGCATAACCCCCTTCCCAATCTCCTCAATTAAAAGTTCACTGACAACCATGCATTTACACCTCAATTATATCAGCTAACGCCTCCAGTGCACAGCCAGACATTCTCTGGAGCGACAGAATCGAGCACTATGACCCAGACTCACCCTCGGCTCGGACCGGAATCAACGGCAGGGCAGTTTCCATAGGGATAGTAGCGCTGTCTTGCTCCAGGCGACAAGCCGAAGGTTAATGACTTTCCGCCATATAAACAGGCACGTGCCCTCTTGGCCCCGTGGTCACTCCTCAGGTGGTTGCCTTCACAATAATATTGATTCCGATTTCGACACCAGTGTGTTACACAGTGCTTCTCTATTCACGGAGTCTACCACTACCCGGAAGCCGATAAAACAGATGAAATTTGGCTGCTGGTGTTTGTATCACTGCTCCAGAGGAGAGTACAACCTCTCCCTGGACGGAAACCTGCCTGACGTGGACTGGTTTCTTTCGCTGGCAAGGCAAATTAGGGCGTCATCAGGGGTATTGACGCGGCATTCTTTGCGAATCTCGCCCAACACAAACCCGGCGCACAACAACAGGCGAGCTTCGGTTAGGTAGTCCAAGCAGGAAATAAAAACGCGCTCGCTAGGTTAGGTTGCATGTGATATCCTGCAGGGTTTCCAACCGCATGCAGACACCATAACGTAGTACCAATCCAGGAAGGCGCAAATTTCCCACAGCACTCAGTAGTCAATTTTATTTCATACTGCTATGCCTTTATCTGTCCCCAGTGGATCCTTCGACAACAATCGTGGGGAACAGAAAACAGCGCTTCCTTAGGCAGTCGGCGGTTGGGGATTTGCATTACATGTCCTGACCAACTAAACCTGATAAGTTTAATCTGCTGCACTGAGAATTCGGATTTGGCACCGAGTACTCGCTTACGCACCACCTTGTGGTGTACTCCTTGAAGTTAGCTAACTCTTACTATGATACGGAGACACTAGCCGTTAAAGATTTAAAAAGGCCCAAGGGCCTCAGATCAGGCTAAACTTACCACCAAGTGGTGATTCCGATAAAATGAAACCTCACATGGAGAGGTGAGAGGTATTCCTTTGGTGTTGAGCAAGCAACCCCTTACAAGTCCCCAGTAAGGTTCACGGCGTGTCTTTTATCAGGTGTTCCTTCTAGAACAAGGCGCGTGAAGCACTGTACAGTGTAATGATGTCCGACGGTAGCTTTAGAAAGTTAATCAGGTCGTTCATATCTTATGGCGCAACCAACTGTACGTATGTATGGTGAAAAATTGTCATAATTCGGCGTCTGGGATTCGACAACGCGTCATCTATCCTCTTTACTGCCCAACTTCGCACGACTGGATTCTACGCCCGGCTGTCAACGGACACCAGGGAGTGGATGTCAGGCAGAATGTGTCAGTTACAGACCTTGAATTCGTGAGCAATAGTTGTCCTTGTAGATCACTACAGCATACAGCAGGTTCCTAAGGTTCCGACGGTTCGCTTCTCCGGTCTACCTAGCGATCAACGTTTCTCTGTACACTTAGCTCTGGTGGACCATTCACGATAAACGGAATGGTGCCGCAATCAGTTTTTGCGTCCTTATAACCCAAACAAACCAACCTTCCCAACTGTCGGTTCAGAGTCATGGTCTGCTTCAATTCGTGATACGTCCCCAAGACCGGATGTGCCATCGATACTGTGGCATCGAATGAAAAAAGAACAGCTCTGGTGGTTTAAGCACGTTCTTCATCGCAACGTACTCGAAGCCACTGTCGCTCCGAAACTGCGTCAGTATTGGTCTTATTATCAAGGTTTAGTTCAGTTCAGTTATTCGTGGGTTCCAGTTGCTACGGTTCTATTGATCGAGAAACAGGAGGAATTGGGGGGACGACAGCCACGAGTTGGAGGCGTTGACCCAGTCAGTTCACTGGAGCTAAACAGCTCCATTTGTCTAATGAAACGGAATGGAGGAGCTGCGCGATGAAGGCATTTGCTTTGATGCAGAACCACTTTAGGCTCTGTGACATGTTAATATCTTTCAGGGTTGCTGAATACTGATTCATCTCGTCCCAGGGAAGGCAGTTGCCAATGCGACTGAGTTAACTGGTGAAGACTATCATGCTTCATTGCCGATATCCAGGACTGACCCTATATGGGTCATGTCCATCCGACACACGACTGGGTGAAAGCGACTGTAAGAAAAGATCCCCTGGTGTACAAAACACACGAGTTAACCAGCCTAATCAACGGAGTTTGATCTGTTGATCTGTCGAGAGAGAGAGCTGCCTTTCCAGAAAACCATCTGGCATAACTGACCATCACTAGTTCGATGTTGTTATCCGACGGATCCTTAACCACATAGGGCCTTTGAAGGTCTGCGCACAGCTGCTATGTTTCTGATCCGTAAAATGGAAAACCAAATTGCGGCACTGTACAGCCAAACTGGTGTCACGCCGGCATCATCACTGAGCTAGTCAGGTAAAGACGTGGATTGATACCGGTAAGTCCGGTAAGGTCTGCGGGCTGTCTACGACTCACGCCGATGGAGCCGTGCGGTAACCTTGTTATCAACTTGGATGGATTCAAGAACTCAAGACGTTCGAGAAGCCGTTGCATCTTCATGCGAAGATAGCCGATAGATAGATAAGCAGCCGAGTCACTGTTGCGGTTTTTAGCGACCCACATAAATTCTTGAGTCGCTAGGTGAGTTGTCTCCTCCAGATGTCGCAGCATGGTGGGGGTCAGGCTTTTGTGGAAGCGCGTAAAGTTATCCGTTGCACGTCATTGAGCATTACAAAGAAGTCTATCACCATTTAGCTTCTATTAATGTTCACCACCTTTTTCTGATGGAGCTGTTCTCACCAAACCGAGTGTCAGGCCCTATGTTCTGGTCGGCCGTCCGTCTTAAGAAATTAGATAAACCATGATTTCAAGCCAACAGTGGCAACAACGTTAGGCAGCTCTCGTAGATCCGACAAGAAACTGCCCAGCTGTGGCATCCTTTCAGTGAGTAGCTGTCGTGCAGCTTGAAGGAAACACGGTGCTGAGTTACCACTAGGTTGCCAAAGCTCAGATAAGAGCCATCGAAGAGCCAGGTTTGGGTTAGAACCACAGATCCCCTATCAGTAGCTTCACACACTATCCACTCAACTCTCCTGGATCCGGAACCCAACAATCATGATAGCGGTACTGTGCATCCTTTCTCTTCTGTTTCCGTGCTACCGTCAACCTACAAACACCATGAGTTTTCATGAATGTGAATAGGTCTCATATCCCCCTCTCTTCCTTCGGGTAACTTTGTCGTTGTTATGTACCTGTACGGCAGTGAAGCATCAGTGCCAACACTGATGTTGCTGTCATTGATGATGACCTGCGCAAACCACGCTCAATAACTTGTGGGACCGATGCTGTGCTGAAGTATCCTCAGGCCGCGTACCAAGTCATCTCCTACTCAGCCGACCAACGTCTGCCTTTTTGGGAACTTTCCTGATGTCGAATAGCTAAGTGGTCAGTGTTTACACCTGTGTAGCCATCCCGTGCTCCAAACTCTTGTGACACTACCTCTCAGTACTTATATAGAGCATAACGTAAACACCGTTCGTCAATGTTGAATTCGTAAAGTCAGCTTACAAGTGCTCTAAATATACCAAAGAACATAACAAAATTTCATTCCGACCGGGATAAATAACATTAACAGGCACCGAATCATACTACTGGAATCGCCTATTGATCCGCTTTTGCTGAATAGAGTGCCTAGTCATGCAATTTCCTCGCTCCGGCCTTGTCACTGCAGGCTGATCATCAGCCAACCGATCGATCGACTTTTTAGGTCCAACCCGATGTTTACTCAACTCACTCTCCTTTTTGCGCCCATGTTCTTTATTGGACTCAGTGTAACTCCAGATGGATCAATGGCTAAGGTGTGAACTTAATAATCGGCAGGTACATAATTCGAATCCAACTCTAACCTCTTGACAGCTCTTGTCTAGATTTGGGCAACCTGTCAGTTTCTCAGCCCCGTCCTTCGAATCCAACTCTAACCTCTTGACAGCTCTTGGCTAGATTTGGGCAACCTATCAGTTTCTCAGCCCCGTCCTTACTTCGGGTTGCATGACAGCTAGGCGCCGAAAAATGTTACAGCTGAACGAATATGATTTCTGTTCCGGGTTTTTGTGGGATGTGTATTGTTCACATTCACATCACTCTCGTTTGAACAGTCATCCTCCTGTCCTGGCGCGATTATTCTGGTGAATCCACACCAAAGGGGGAGGGTAAGCACTGGACTCGAGTTTCGCTCTTATTGGAGCTCATCAGCATTGCGTGTCAAACGAGATTGATGTGAATGTGAACAATCCACATCTCGCGAAACCCCACGACATGCATAAACAAAGTTGTCCAGTGGGTTTCAAGCGTCTGACTGGAAAGTCCTGACAAGCGGGCCAATCGATCGTCACAACTAGGACAGTTACTGAGTCGTCGTATCAATGATGTGTCAGGCATACCAATCACATCGCTCAAGCGTGAACACGTTCACCCGTTCAGACGTAAGAATTCAGATGCGTCCAACGTACGCTGGTGGAGTAGTGGTAACACGTTCGCCTCGCATGTCAGTTGTTCGGAGTTCAAACCCCGACACGGCCATTGGATATGCACTGCTGATGAGCCCTAATAAGAGCGAAGCTCGAGTCCAGTACTTCCCCTCCTTTGGTGTGGATGTGCCAGAATAATTGTGCCAAAACAGGAGGATGACTGTTCAAGCGAAAGTGATGTGAGTGTGAATATGATTCCCTTATCATCTGTCCCATCCGCACCAGAACTCTGATTATATTCACTGAGTGATCATGAAAGTCCACTCTTGCTTTCGACCGTCGCGATCAACCAAACACCATCCCACGCACCATCGACGCCGGCAGTTTAATTTACTCCTGCTGCACTCAACCATTCGGCGATGCTCTTTTTCTAGGTGAGATTTGTACGAGCCGACTTTTTTCGGTTCTATTAAACGACCCTTGAAATTTCCAACCAACGGACATTTTGATTGGTCTTCTCTGGGTTTAGGTTGCTTGGTGGTATCTCAGTGTTCTTGCTTCACGCAAACTACTTAGGACTGTTTGTCGAAAGGTCGTTTAGTGACTTCGACCTCATTCTATCTCGTTGATCCCTATTGGCGACCTATTATTTCTTGGTCACCCCCGTTCAAAGTAGTTGGCCCTCAGAACTTTTACGGAAGTTAAACCCTTCACTCGCGTCCATCATTCCCGAAAAATCCCCCTTTACAAGCCAAACCCTTGGTCAAGTACTGCTGACTTGTCGAGACTCTTCTCTGTTTCCTTAATTCTAGCAGAAAAATTTACTTTTCATTGCCTNCATGTCATATGAATCTCAGTTCTATATTTATATTTGTTCCTTTGTAACACCATTTCGGTGCCTAGCTGCCATGCCACTCGAAGGAAGCACGAGGACCGAGATACTGGTAGGTTGCCCAAGCCCAGACTAGACCACTTGAGATACACGGGTTCGAACCACAAGTCTCCCGGCTGGTAATTTCGCGCTTCAAGGATTGGGCCATCTCGAGCTCACGGAAAAAACAGAACAGCAGCCAATGGTACCGCGCTCATCAGAGTGTGTTCCAGCAACCAAGGAGTATAAAGCGATCTTTGTTTCACCAATGCAAAGCAGTTTGCTATTAAGTCCACTATATGACGGAATCACGCAAAGGCTAAAGCATCAGGAGGAGGCAGTTCACCGTATTTTACTCTGCTAGTTTCAATGAGCCAAGTACAGAGGTATGTCACACTTGCTAGGTTATCACGTTGCATTCCAAAGCCGTACTCAGCGATATAGTTTGACAAAATATCGGACGTTTTCAAGATTGCAGACTTCCACCTGAGGAACCACCACTATCGCCGAGCCGGAGGCAGCGCTATGGATACTACCCACTGACCACTTCAACCAGCACAACCTTTGGTCGTAGGCTTGTTCGCTGAGCTGAGTAATTTGATTGCAAACGTTTCATCACCAGTCGAGGTGACATCATCAGTGTGTTATTGTGAAGCGTCGTGGTGTGTAGCGATGGGTTGGTGGTTATGCCACCACAACCAGCCAAATTGTCCAGCTGAGCCAACGACCATCTACGCTACATGAGCTACCAACATTTCCCTCCGGAGAAAGGACAGTCTTTCTTGGTGTGGGTACCAAAAGAATAAGCTTCTCACTCCAGCATACTGTATGTATTCTCGTCATTGTAATAGTTTAACTGAAGTCAGCTCAGACGTGAGCCGCCTGAAAAATCTTCACTCATTTCCCGGGGTCTCCGCTAGAAAATTGACTGGATCACAAACGGCCCGGGCCTCACTACTCATCACCGGCATCAGGAACTACCTGGGATTAGTACACTGGTTAGCCCTGAGACATCTCTCTCCAAAAGACCGAAAGTTCGTGATATCGTTCCATATCTCCGAAGTGTGCAAAAGCTATTCTGGACAGCGATCGTATTCTAGGTTAGTGAGAGTTTCGGACGTTGGGGGTCCTGGTTGTAAGACATTTTGCTCATCCTCGTAAACACAGTTGGACCTGGTAATGCCGCTCCATTTATAAAGATATTAATAAGAGATAACTGGTCAGCTGTAACACCGTTTCGGTGCCTAGCTGTCATGCCGCCCGCAGGAAGTACTAGGGCTTAGGGACCACCGGTTTGCTCAACCTTAGACAGGAGCAGTCGAGATGCACGGTCCGGGTCCGAACCACTTACTTTCCGGTCATTGAACCGAACCTTGTCGAGCTCAGTATAGTATGTACCATGCTACGTGCTCTTCTGTTCTATTTTCCAACCCACACATGGAGCTGACTTCCGTTTTTCAACTTTCTTCTGTCAACCGACCACTTATAGAACTTATCTCCGTACCGTTTTTCCCCGGAATGATGGAACTCTGTTTTGCACCCCGTTTTCCGGCACCCCGCAACTTTCAATATTCCGAGACTCGAGCTTCCGTTTGATTGTCCGACCTCCTCTGGTCTCCCACATTCGGCCACGTCTACCCTCATTAAAATAAGGCTACAATAATTTTCGTTTTTGATTACTTACTTGCCTACTTGGCTTTATTCTCACTGGTTGTTTGATTATCTTCGGGTATCACTCCTTCTACAATCCGTGTTGCTGTTTAGGACCTCGCGTGTAATCCATAGTCATTCCATTTTCTCCATTTAATTTCAGAGCTTACGGGAGTTTCTGCTGAAATACGCGTGTGGTTACATACTACTGACAATTCAGTAATCTTGGCGGAAGTATGACAGAGGAAATTGACGATTCACTGTACAGGTACCCTTTTTTATTAGGTTCTAATTATTTTCACGTTCTCAAGCCGCCAACGATGCGTGCTTGGCGATGTGGCAATGCGGAAATTATCCCGTTCCAAAGTATTTTTATGCGGACTTGATGCAGTCGGTGTGGAAATTGGTAGGCTATTCTAGCGTGCATTCCATTGTTCCATCCTTAAAGCGAAAAATCTCGTCCTTGGTGGAATCGAGGAGCTGACAATCCAGGACAATGCCAGATGCACAGTTGCAGATATGGGCGTACAGTTTTTCATTCGACAAGCAGATGTCGACAGCGGCAAGACCAGGTAAATCGCTAGATTGTTTGAACAGCCTTCATTCTAATTGTCAGTGCACTTGTTTGATTGCCCCCCGGTGTACTACGAACGGCTTTTCAAGTTCACATATTGTTATTTCCATTGGGGGGGGGCGAGATGGTTCAGTGGTTAGAGCATGAATTTACTGACCGCAAGCTCCGTTGTTCGAACCAGTTCTTCGCATCTTGACTTCTCCTGTCTAGGCTCGGGCAACCTGGCAGTATC